CCCGTTCCCCCTCATTGCAACAACCACTGTTATAATAAAAAATGAAGTAAAAAAGAAAAAATATATTTATGAAACAAGGATGCATAATATCATACAATAAATTTTATATTTAGTTATCAAAAAACTCGTCGTTTATATCCACCAAACACTCATCACTTGAATCGTCAGATGACTCATCATTTGATTCATCGGACAAGTTATAATTTCCTATTCTTGGAGCCGGAACAATCAAATTCAAAACCTCTACTGGTAATTTTTTGCTTCTTTTTGCAGCCAGTTCTCTAAGTGAATTGATAACAGGGTCAGATGTTATTAAAAGCATATTCAGTAAATCCATATTTGTAGAAACACGTGACTTTTTTCTAGTGTGATGTTCTCGAAATCTCCCACAATCCCACAGTCTTTATTTTGTGCTGCTAGAGATTAATTGGACCGATGCATCGGTCCAATTAATTTTCTGCGCATTTTTTTTTTTTTTGCTTTTTGAAATGTTCTCAAAACGGCTATAAAAATCTGACTAGCTTTTCGGATTGAATTTGTCAATTGAATACCATTCAATTGACAAATCAATTTTATTCTCAGTTTTTTTGTATTGATATATAATGGACAGTGAAAAGCCTTTACTGTCATTTATTTATCAACAATGAGTTTATCACAGCATTCTGACTATCTTTTTGCTATCATTTACCAACACCAAAGTTGTTGTAAAATTATACCAATATAACAAACTACTAATTCGATATGCTGCTATACAGTTCCAAGACGATTAAAATCCACTTTTTTTTTTAAATGCTATTCACTTCGTCAAGGTCGAAACCCCATTAAAGTCGAATAAGCTATTTTTAATATACATTTTAATATATATAAGGCTACTAAAATCAAGTAAGCTATATTTTGTTGTTACAACCCTCCTTCAACTCTTAAACTCCGAAACACGAACCTTAAATAAGCTCGTTGCGCGGAGAAACAAGTTGACTTTGATAACGCGGAGAAACAAGTTGGCTTATTTTAGTATTCTCAAAATAACAACATCATCTACATTAAGAATAAAAAAAATAAAAGCTGCAACTTAAGAACAATTAAAATCTCGTCATAAAAACAGTTATTTAAGTTTGGCAATTAAGCTTTCCTTAGCAACCATTTAAGACTATTTTATCTCTTTGTCTGGCATCATTATTGAAGTATATTTAATCATTATTGAAGTATATTATCATTATTTTATCATTTTATCTGGCATCATTATTGAAGTATATTTAATTGCGTTTAGTTTTTATTTAAAATATTAGTATATAGTATATATATACTATATATATATATGTATTCATATAAAGTATATTTCGGTTGGTTCTTTTCTGGCGAATGTCGTCCATATAAATTGCTAACTTTATATACGCTTCGTTTTATTTGCTATAAAACCATTTTCTAGGCGCAGATTTCTCTATATGTAAAATTAAACTGTTCTAACATTTAAATTTTAAGGATAAATTTTATATTTACTGGCAATCATCATCATTAGCTGCTATAAAGAACATGATTCAATTTAATTCAATTTAGTTCTTGATTCAATTTAATTCAAACAATCTAATTATCTAGTTGTAAATAATGAAGATTGCAATTTAATTTAAACAATCTAATTATTTAGTTGTAAATAATGAAGATTGCAAGTCATTCGCAATAACGTTAATAAAGATTGCAAGTCATTCGCATTAACGGTAATGAAGATTGCAAGTCATTCGCAATAACGTTAATGAAGATTGCAAGTCATTCGCAATAACGTTAATGAATCAAAGTATCATTGTTTAGTTTTATTAATCAAATATTATTATTAACCAAAAAACTAAAAATGATTTTAAAACTGCTCTTTTAAGAGCAGTTACGAAAACATACCACCTAACCAGTGCCGTATCAAGTAGGTCGGAGACCCCTTCCCTCATAAAAAATCTTTAATTAGAGCTCAAAAAATCCTAAGAAACTCTTCATTATTCGCTACTAGGCAAAAGAAACAATAATCAAAAAAAGCTACTTAAGTTTGCAAGAAAGCTCCCTAAAATAACTTTTTAATTAAATCTTTTTGCTTAACAAATTTTAATCAAATTTATATTACAACGTCGTGCATTTTACATTCGGAATAAAATTACTAATAATTGTAGTACGAAAAAATGACATCAAATAGACTAGACACATTTTTGTTTAGTCTCACTGTGTTAAGGAACATAAATCAAAACGCAAATTCACTGGTATGGCCAACACAACATTCACCACAGCACCATCAGTGATCATGCAGGTAACTACTATCCGAGACAGTATGACTTAACAACTAGGCGCAATCACCGCAAGTATCGGAGCCGCTGAACGTCAAAAATTCACCCAGAATTAGTCAACATGATTTTTTTAATAAAAACCCAGGGCATAATAATTGCAACCTTGAAAGCCATTGTGCAACATGGCAATAACACACAAGCAAGGGTAATACCAACAATCCCTCAGTGTAACTAGATTGTCAGCTAGAACCTTAAAACTCCCAAAAAAAGACCAACAGCAAACCGACATAATTAGCACCATAGTTAAAAAACACAAAGAACGTGAAATCCGATCAAAAAACATTGTTATCCAAGCTATAAGTAAATAGACTTTAGTCAACTTGAACGACTGAACGCAACACGATCAAACTAAAATCAATAAAGTACTCGATCTCATCGGAGCTGACAAAGACAAGTATCTAGCTGACTTCCAACTTACATCTCGTGATTCTGTTGGTAGCCCCAAAAAAGAAGGGTCGACAGCCATCGCACCTCCAAACGAAGGCAACCACAACCTACTCCACTCTTTTTATTAATCCTGACCTTACGTCAGTTGAAAAAAAACTTAGCATGGTAGCTACGCTACGAATGCAAAAAACAAAACGCCACATCAACAACAGTGTTTGTAATATGAAGCAACAAAATCAAAGAAATTGCCAAAACCAGATTACCACTGTTCAATTTACCTACCAACCACACCACAAACCAACCAAGAATTCAACTGTCAACAACCACTCACTACCTAACATACTCCTGTATTCAACACAATAACTAAAAACGAACTCAACATCAAATAGCCACCCAAGTTAACTTTATCTAACTCGCCAAAAACCAAAACTACAACAACTAATAATACAAACAGCAAAGCCGGAATTACATATCTATTTGGAAAATAATTATTGCTCAATTAATATCTAAAAAATGGATAAACTAAGAGTTAAAGTCGCCTCAACAGACACCTTACTTCAATCACACATAATATTGATTACTGAAGCTTGGTTTACCGACACATCCGACACAAAAATAAAAGGTATTGACTTTTCAACAAAAATAGTAGAGGAGAAGGAATCACCATCTAATCAAAAGAAAACCTAATTTGTACTTACAAAGATATTGACCATTTTAATAGTACCATCATTGAGCAAGTGTAGATCAAATTAAAGTTTTACAACGAATTGATCATTCTAGGCTGTATCTACCGTCCGAACAATCCAACGGACAGGCACACTTTTTCATTGAGGGAAGTATAGCTCCTCTGGACTAAAAATCTAGGAAATATAAATCAACTGTGTCTCTTACCCTTTAATGAAACGTTTGGTATGGAGTAAAGCCGACTATGACTCAATCTTTACACTTATTGCTACGTTCGACTAGAATTCGGACTGGAATTGCAGTTAAACGTTGCGTTTTTTAGTAAATAATATACGGAAAAAATATTATACCGTTTCAAAATATATGCAAACGACCGTAAAATAATTTGGGTTATCAAATCAAAAGAAGACACCTTAAAACATGGCTCGTGTCTTTTAATATCATTAAGTGCAAGGTCGTACATACAGGTTGCAATAACAACAAAAATCAACTGCAATTTACATAATAAACGACACTGTCGGTCAACTGCACTAGCTATTGTTCACAAAAATTAAGCGTGGCCTAGGCGTTGTAATGACTAATGATTTAAAAATCAGAAGACAAGTATTCACGGCCGCATCAGCTGGTAACCGTATGCTTTGCATGCTTAAGAGTGCTTTTCGATGCCGTATTCTTGTACTATGGCGCACATTATATATTTTATAAGTTCGCCCACACTTGGAATGCTCAGAACAATCCAATATAGCTAAACTCAAGCAAGTTTAACTCTAACATTTTGATTATATCTAGCAACGCGAACCTAATGACGAGCAAGAAGAGATCTTATTGAATAATAGAAAATCAAAAGCAAAATTTATATAATAAACTTCCTGTCCTTCAGCATCTACCAAACTCGACGTCATCAAAGTATAGTTTTAGAGCTCGCAAACACACCTAAAACTCAAAGTACTTTTAGATATAACACTTAACTGTAATTTGAAAGCTAAAGAGTATTTTCATTTGAAAGCTATAGACTGTATTTTTATCACAAAACGGCTCATCATAAATAATTTGTAAATTTTATTGATTGTGAATAAATTAAATTAAGTTAATTGATATTCCAATCGTTTTATTTTAAAACATTCTTTCTATGGATAATATGTTTGGATACCTTTAGTGGCATTATGTCTATATAGTTAAATATAATAAAAAGTATTATGCTACACTTAAATACCATTTTTATTTTAAGTTTATTAAACTCTGACGACAAGATTATGACGATTTGATGACAGAAACCTTGTTTATATTTGTTAATACTATTATTTGATATGTATTTTTTGATATTGTATTTAAAAACAAACTAATGTGTACGGAAAAAGAAATATAAATTGACAAAAAAAATTAATTACATTACAAAAAAATAATCGTTAAAGGTTTAGTATGCATTTTACTTTTTTATTCTTTTGAGTTTTAAAAAAGATTTATTAAACAAAATGCTTATTTAATAGAATAAAAATACAGCAGCAACGTAAATTTGTTTAAAAAGAAAACTGAACCATAAAAGTAAAATATTGATTCACCAGGTAAAAAGTTTGACATAAAAAAAAATTTAAATAGTAAACCACTTACTGGCTGAAATTGAGCAATTCCTTTTGAAGACGAAACGGTATTTGTCACCTTTTGTTCACCACCTTAAAAAATATGTTTTTGATTATTTCAAAATTTAGGTACTTGGTTGTGAAAAAAAAAAGTGCATCAACTTTTTACCCCTAAAGTAAATCCATAAAAGGACTTTAAATCGAGATGGTACATGCTTTACAACAATATCTTTTACATTTATCGACATGTTTTACATATGATGATTGTAAATTTTTAAAACTTGTTTTTTTAAATGTTACGCGAGATTAAAAATCAGCAATTATAGCGAATTATGACCTTAACATTTACACTATAAGCTTTTATCAGCTGAATCTTGACGCCGTTATTTTAAAAAGTTAAATAAAGAACCCCTATAAATGTATTTATGTTTAACCACAAAGTTTTGTTTTAAAAGTTTATGAATATTATTCAGGGGCAACTAATTGTCTTGATAACCCTTATAGAAGAAAAATTTTCGAAACTAAACTTTATATATCTATATGAAATTAAGTTACATATTTAAAAATATAAACTTTTTTTACATCTTATATATTGCAAAACATTTTAATAAAAGATAAAAAACTGAATGCAATGAAAGGAATTTTTTGCTATCTCTATTGTAAAGACAAATTGACACGGTAAAGCAAATAAAAGCGAGCAAATCTCTATAGAACGTACAATATATAATTGTAATCCTCAATGAGAATGATCTTGATAACAACTCCTACTACTCCGTTTGCGCAATAAATTACTTTTTTTTTTTTTTTTATTAATTACAATCGTTTTCGATTATAAACTGGTACTTAGTACTACAGTTAAAATATAAGTCTTTATAAAAGTTATAGCCTAAAATGAAGGAAAGAGGAGAAGATGTGATATTTTTTGTATACGTAGTTAAAAATGTATTTATTAACGATTCCAACTTTCAACAACTGACAAACCTAGACTCAATTTTAACTTTGAACATTATAGTTAAAAACGGAGGAAAGTATTTCAATTCCCCATTTAAATGCTGCGCTAAGTTCATTTAGTATGCAAAGTTGGCAAATAGTAATCAAAGTTGGCAAATAATCTTACTTTTGATTGATCAACTACAGCATCCATTATACAGTATTCGTTGCAGATTTTGGTATAAAGTTATTTAAGTAATTCTGTTATGTTTAATTTTGATCATCAGTTCATTTTTGCCTAACTCTCCCCCCCCCCCCTCCCTCCTCCTTCACTACTTATATATTTTAGAAATGTATATATTTTTTTAATTTATGTATTTAACAAAGCATGATGTTTGAAAACAGAAGTAAATATGGGAGGCTATCTAAAAGTGATAAAAAATTTTAATAATTTTGTGCGAGGCAAAAAAAGTTGGACTGTTGATCAATATGACATAATTTCATAGTTACATAGATTTAAGAAGTGTGAGACTAATATTCTAAAAAAACAAACTAAAAAATTTTCATAATTTAAATCTGAAAACTGCCCTTCCTCCCCCTACTTTGTTAGAGTCTGAATCCACCGAATCTAAAAAACCTAATAATTGCCCTCCCACTGAACCCGCTCCCCGCACCTTTCTAGATGGTCTGGATCCGCCCCTGATACAAAGTGTCTCCAAAAATATCTTGGAGGCATTTATTCGTACGTGTAAACACAAATTAATAAACTTTGATATTTATTATATAATAAATATAAAATATCAACGGCCTTGATCCTTCCTATAAAATAAAAGAACTTGCGTTTAAAAAATAAAAAAAGAGGAGAAGGAGGTATTTGTCAATCCTTATAAAACAAATTTAAAGTAGGTTCCAGCAAAAAAAAACAAATTTTGAGATTAGCATCCGTTTATTTCAAACGTGCAGCAACTGGTTCCACTACAATTCATAAAATTAATTTTATCATTATAATAAATAAAGCTTTGGACTAAGATAAAGCAAGCAAGATAAAGCAAGCGGGTGTTAGAAGAGGTACACGATTACATGAATCTATAAAAATGAAAGTTGAAAGTGCTTGAAGATTGTAATGACAGAATTGTCATTTTGAAGCAATTTTTGGGTGTCTCGAAGTTTTACTTTTTTGATCACCTACCATTATAAAAAAAAAACTTATAGCAATACCTTTTTATGCTACGCCAAATTCTGAATATTTTTTGATGGAAAATAATTATTTTCAATAGTTCTTTTTATCAAATGCGGAATGAAAAGGTAATCAATTAATGAAATAAATTTAAGCTGAGTCTACCGAATAATTAGAGTTGATTTCAATTAACCCTACCCCTTAAAAGTGATTAAAAATAATTATGTTGTATGTAAACAATAAATTGATTCAAAAAGCTAATAAGATTTAAAAAAATATTGTTAGTTTTTTGAACTGCGTGCTTTTTAGGTACGCGCGCGTTTTGCTGATCATTGTTGCGCGTAAAATGAAATTAAAACCCCATTATTAAGTTTTTTAACAAAAATTAAAGTTTTAAATTGTATTTAATTACATAGATTTTGCATAGAAATTTTTTTTTAAACATATCAAACTTAAATTACTTTAAAATTAGCCAAATCTCTACGGTCTGTCTCAAGAATAAAAAAAAATATAAGAGTACTTTATCTCCAGAGTCAAAAAATGTGTAAAATCAAATCTTTTAAATAATTTTTAACAAACCGTGTAGCTAAAAAAAGGCAAGTTTCTCTACATCAACTTTATTGATGCTAATGTACCTCAAGAAGTCTGTAAAGTATGCAGAACTGCTGTTTGAAGAAAGCAAGTTTAAAATCATCCGCTTTTGGAACAGGTTTTTGGTGCAGGTAATACAGATTAACAAAAGTGATCCTTTAAATGTCCTTTAAAAGTCTCTTTAAGTTACATCTTCCCAAATAAAGTTATGTAATTCTGTTGCTTTTTTTTGAATTTCAAAATTTTGAAAAAATGCTTTTTCTTCTAATTTTCTATCATAAACATGCAAGATTTCATGAATAATTTTTTTTTACCAATAATAATAACAAGTAATAAAGGGTTCTTCACAAACACAACTTCATTTGTGTTTTTACTTAAAACTCTGAATAAAGAATGTTTTGAAAAAAAATCTGAAGTCAATAATCAAAATTTAATTTTGTTATAGTATTTTAAATATATAAGAATTTATCAAATTAATTCTGAACTCAAAAAAAGTTTTGTAATACTATCATTTTGTCTATATTAGCAAGAGAAAAAAAAATTAAATTAGACCTAATTTTATTTTTGAATTCTTTTTGACTCAGGGGAGGAAGTATTTTCTTCTCATATTAGTAGCATTCTTGGGACAGAGCCTTAAAGTTTTGATCAATTTTCAAAAATGTATGCTAAATATATGTCAATTTTCAATAATGTATGCTAAATATATGTCAAAGTGTATGCTAAAAACTAATTTTAGTAAATTAGTTCGTAAGAGCCATTTTAAGACAATAGCAGTTGTAAATCCCGTACGTTAGAAGATGTAGATTCTATAAAAAAAAAATAGTTTAAAAAAAAACCATGTCAAAATTATCATAACTAAAAAAAAGAAGTACATGTATAAATATTCGCATTCAATCATGTCCAAAACAAATATTTTTAATGCTACTCCAGTTGTAACTTTTTCAACATTGTGTGAAAGCAAAGGATGTGAAAAGAGGCACGCGTGTACGAACCTATAAAAATGAAAGTTGAAGGTGCTTAAAGATTCAATTTGATTTTTTGGTCAACAATAACAGAATATTAAAAATAGCTCCTTGATACAAAATATAAACATCTATCCGTCTCACAAAGTTTTAATTAAAATGGAGAAATGCTATCCCGATGAAATGATTTTTTTCTGAAACATCTGCAGTTTACCACCTTAATATTTTAGGCGCATTGTGTAATTCAAAGTCTAATAAATAACGTTCTACTCACGGCTTTTTTTTAAAATAACATTTTAAATATAATACTTAATAATACTCAAACAATTTAGTAACAAACACACGATACCAACAAATACACGATATGAACAAACACACGATACTAATAAACGCACAATGCCAACACACGGTACAAACGAACATTCGATACCAACGAGCACACAATATCAATAAACACACAATATCAACTCACAAAAATGACACTCATTAGCACACACACAATGCTCAAACAATGGTTAGTTAAAAATGATTTGTTTCGAACAGTTGTAAAAATCTAAAACAAATACGAAAAATCCAATAAAAGCCAAACTGTTATGACCACTGGATATTTCAAATATTTTGAAATAAATAAAAAAGAAATAAATTGAAACATATTTAAAAACATTGACGGCTCAGAAGAAACCAACGACAATCAACAACCATGAGAGATTATATCTAAAACATCTTTCTCAACAAAAGATTTACTGTTGAAACAAACCTTGAGAGTGGAATTTTCTGGTGAACCTTTACATGTGTAAAGGTTCACCACAAAATATTATGTTTAATGACAAACATGTGATTGAGTTTGCTTGTTACAGTATGCTCAATTAATCACTCGAAATCAAATTAATATATCGAAAGGATCTGCTGAATCAGTAGAAGTTAAAAAAGTTTTGGTATGCTTTAAACATTTTATTGAGAAAAGAAAAGGTTGTATACCATTGTTGATAGTAGTTCTTTATCACTTACAGTCATAATAAAGGCAAATATTATGCGGACAGACTGTGAGAAATGGTAAATTTATTTATCATTAAATTAACTTGTTAAATTAACTGCGCCTACTGCGTGCAATTTTTAAATTAAAAAGGCGGCCGTGACACATTGGTTAGAGCGCTTGTTTTATAAGCAAGAGATCCAGGGTTCGAAGTGAGCTCTGAGCATATTTCGCGCCTTTGGTAAAAAAATGAATAATGAACTTCCTAATAAAATGCACTTCGGCGGTGCTCTGTGACAAGACTGTTAGGTCTTCTTGGAATGGTCATCAAAATATCATAGTGTATATTTTCATTTTATATGAAAAGAATTAGGTTCAAAAATTTTTACTTTATTTTTTTTAGATAATTTTTTACTTTATTTTTATTTTGATAACTTTTTGATAACATTCTATATGTATATATCACTACGTTAGAATTATCTTTTTCTAAAATTTTTAAGGGATAAAAACTTCTATAAATGGTAAAGGGAGACTTACTGATAAGGGAACGTCCATAAATTAAGCAACGCTATATTTATTTAAAAAATAAAAGTAGGAGATTTTAAGCACTTCTACGCGGTGATTTTTATTAAACTTAATGCGCTATTTTTATTTTTTTATATAACTTAAGGCTCTGTAA